GGAGGATGGATGGAGGATGGAGGATTGATGGAGGATGGATGGAGGATGGAGGATGGATGGACGGAGGATGGATGGAGATGGACAGAGGATGAATGGAGGATGGACGGAGGATGGATGGAGGATGGAGGATTGATGGAGGATGGATGGAGGATGGAGGATGGATGGATGGAGGATGGAGGATGGATGGATGGAGATAGACGGAGGATGGATGGAAGATGGATGGATAAATGGAGGATGGAGGATAAGTGAATGGACGGATGAAGATGGAGGGTGGGAAGAAAGGGTGCAGTTGCTTGCCCACTTGGTAATTGATATTCCTTTGATGGGTTCCCTGCACAAACTGAAACTCCGCCCCAAATGAGATTTGGGGATTATCTATGGACTCTGCTTCTTCCTCAAAACGAAGGAAGTGGGAACCCCTAGGAGTCTTGGTGTGTCTAAGAGCAACACCCTGCATCCCCACTGAGGGTGTGGAGGAGCTGAAGGACTGAGAGGACTCCAGAAGCTGGGAACAGGTGACTGGCAGTATCACTAGCTGCAAGAGCTGGGGTCAGCACTGCAGAGGCCCCGACGGGCAAAGGCACACTGTGAGAAAGGACGGGGTTTCTCCCAGACGCTGGGGCCCATTCTAGGCAGGCCTGGGCATTGGGAGGGTCCTGGGGCAGGGCGGCCTCTGGCAGGACCACAGTGGGGCTTGCAGGGGCCTGACGCACATGGGGGTGGCCGGGGCGGTGGGCGTTAGGGGCATGCACAAGCCAGGAGAGCGACCTACACTTACGGCGTTGTCTCCCAGGATGTCCAGCTTCTTCATCAGCTCCGGGACCTGGATGTCCTACGAGGCAGAGAGACAAGGGACAGGCCGGGGGTGAGCTGCAGCCAGGGTGGTGGCAAGGGGTGGAGACGGGGAGGGCTTTACCGTCACGCCTTCAGCCTCGCAGTACACCTGGAGCGGGCTCTTGCCGTCCACGAAGGGCGTGTGGTGGAAGTTGATGGCGGGCGACTTCCTCTCCCTCTCCTGTGACAGAGAGCAGAAGGCTGGGCACAGTGGGCCCCTCACTCTCTGTCTCCTCCCTCCACAAGGGCTGCTGGGGCCTGGAAACATGGCAACACCACCGAAGGAGGGACGAAGGCAAAACTAAGCCACGGAGGTGGCGGTGGCAGCAGCACAAACCTCAGTGGACGTGCCTGACCCCAGACGGGCATGCAGGACCCCAGCTCCATCACGCCCTGGCCCAGAGCCCATCTGCTCATCCATCAGTGAATGCCAGGGGGCTGCTGGGAGACTCGGAGAGAGGTGGCATCTTGTGTGTCACGACGGGCCATGAGCCCGAGCACAGCAAGCCCTCGAGGACACAGGCTGGTGCGGCACCGTCCTCCCAGGTGGGACCACAGGCAGGAGCCCCGGAGGTCAAGGGGATGGTCGTCTGCCAGAGTCACCGCACAGCCCTCCAGCCCCACTAGGGAGGTGGATGGAGGATGCAGAGCCAGGGCCAGCGGGACACACATGATGGGCTGGTCAC